CACCAGGGGAGTTGGCTAGCTCAGGGACTGCTACTCCTTGGTCCTCCCTTTTTAAGGACAATCGGGCACCCTCAAATGGCTTTAAATTGAGGTACATCCCACCTAGTGGCACAACCATTGACTTTTCTGATAGAATTATGCCTAGTATGGTTGAAATGTGGGGTTTTTGTCTAGTCGGTTGTTTCACCGGAAAGTTTCCCGGTCTAAAAGCGATTTATGATTTGAAGAACACATGGGGTGTTAAGTGCATTATTAAGCCCCATGATAAGGGTTGGGTTATATTTAAATTTCAAAGTGAAGATGATAGGACAAAAGTGTTGAAAGAGGGACCTTACACCATTTTTGGGAAACTACTTATGTTAAAAGCACTATCGGATGATTTCTCCTTTGATGATGAAGAGTTTCTCAAAGTACCTATTTGGGTTAAATTCCCTAACTTACACTTGAAACTTTGGAATGAGGATGCTTTGAGTGAGATTGCATCCATGGTTGGTGTCCCATTGGCTACAGACAAAGTCACACATGATAGGTCTAATCACCACTTTGCTAGAGTGCTTATTGAAGTGGATATTTCGAAGCCACCGCCACTTTCATTTTCTATTCGACTACCATCCCGGAAGGTAGTTAAACAATTTGTGGTGTATGAAACATTTCCAAATTTTTGCTTCCATTGTAAGATATATGGGCACCACCCGTTTACTTGCAATAAGCTAGCAAAAAAGGACGATGATACGGTGAAATCAAGTGAGAAAGGTGAAGATGAACAAATACAAATTGGGGGAGAGGAAAACATACCTGCGGAGATTGTGGAAGTTGAACCCGCTGCCCAACTGGCAGAATCTGCCCAGGAGGTCCACCCGCCCGGGCCAAGCCCTAACCCGACCGGGTCTCATGAAAAAATGATTGTCCAGGGTCTTAACCCGACCGGGCCAGCCACAAACCCGACCGGGTTTAAACGACAGTCTGATTCCCAGGTTGTCCAGAGGTCTCCAGAAGTTGCGATAAGCTCCAATGAACAATCCGTGGCCGCTTTGGAAGATATTGAGAGGGTAGTTACGGATGAGAATGATTTGCACCAACATGATGTCGTCATCAAATGTGAGATGGTTAACGGTAAGACACTCAAGTTGGTTGTCAAACCGTTTAGATTTGTGCGGGCTGATGTGATTCGAGTGGATACTTCCCTTCGACTCACGCACAATTTGGATAAAAAGGCTTAACTTTCACCGCAAGATGTCTAGAGGGATTACCGGGAGTTACAAAGAAGAAAGGGGAGGTTTGTTTTGATGCTAAATTCACTACTCCTTTCCGGGCTTTCTTTGGATGTTTAGATTAGGAACTTGTTTGATTTTAATTGGTCCAAATCTTGAATTTGAGAGACTATTTGTAACATTAATTTGTGAGGTGGGGTCTGTCCCATTATTTTGATGCATTATATCTAGGTTAGTTTATTCTAGCTTAGATAGTCATTTTGACTTGGATTTGATGCATTGTAAAATGCTATTTTTCGATTTCTAATATACTTACATGTTATCGAAAAAAAAACGTCTAGGACATGCATCTGATGGGAAACTACATCACATTGATTTTCTCAAAGGCCTCAGACGGAGCAACGATCTTTGTGATCCCTGCATAAGAGCTAAGCAAACTAGACTATCTTTTCCTACAAGCACCATTAAGACAACTCGTTGTTTTGAACTAATACATTGTGACATATGGGGAGGCTATAGATGCGATTCAATTTCTGGTGCGCGATATTTCCTATCTATTGTTGATGACTACACTAGAGGTGTGTGGGTTTATTTAATGAAAAATAAATCCGAGGTTCCAGAACTTCTAATTCAATTTTGCAACATGGTTAATACACAATTTGAGCAAAAGGTTAAACGTATACGGACTGATAATGGAGTGGAATTTCAAACCAAAAATTTATTCGATTATTACAGACATACTGGGATATTATTGGAAACGTCATGCACAGACACACCACAACAAAATGGAGTTGTGGAACGAAAGCATAGACACATTTTGGAAATTGCAAGGGCACCTCGTTTTCAGTCTGGGTTACCTATTGATTTTTGGGGGGAATGCATTTTGACTGCTGTTTATATCATAAATAGGCTTCCATCTCCTATCATTTTTAATAAAAGTCCTTACGAAATGTTATTTGGAAAAGTTCCTGGCTATGATCATCTAAGAGTATTTGGGTGTTTGGTATACGCTCATGATAATAAAAGAAAAGATAAATTCAGCGAAAGGGGGAGTCCTTGTATTTTTATTGGATATCCATACAGACAGAAGGCATATCGAGTTTTCGATTTGCAGAAACACTCCGTATATACGTCTAGGGACGTAACTTTTTTTGAAGAAATTTTCCCGTTCAAAAATGTGAACAGTCAAGAGATGGAATTTGGAGCAATGGTTGATCATGCATGTCAAATTATCTTAAATCAATGCCCCATACGTACCCATCATGGTCCCTCCAATTATTATCCTCCCATCACTAAAATGCAGCCACCACCAATTATACATGAGAAAGATGGGATTGATTCTGTCAACCAAGACAGCTGGTACGAGCAACCAAATAATGCAGCACTAACCGACCTTAATGAACAGCAATTGCATGGGACCCAGGGACAGCAGCCGCATGAAATGTCAGTCCTCTCTCCCAACTCACATGAGACTATTTACGTATGTCAACGGCCAGCTGCGGAGGGAACCTCTCAACAGCAATCGATGGGTGAAGCGGTCAGCACCTCTCGTCCGGATTCGGAAACAGACAGAGAAATCGGTAGGGCACCTCCTTCACCTATCACGTCTCAATACAATGCACCGCCAGAAGAGCCAAAACGCGGAGAAAGGGTTAGGAAATGTCCCAAACACTTGCAGGATTATGAGGTTGAGTTGCCCCCCTCACTTGATCATTCACGGACTACCACCAATTCAGTCAACTCGACGGTATATCCTATTTCTCACTTTGTTATTATGAAAAATTTAGCCATACTCACAAAATCTATTTAGCAGCCATCACCTCACGTGATGAGCCAAAACATTTCTCACAAGCTGTACAGGATCCCATGTGGAGAGATGCCATGCAAAAGGAAATTACTGCCCTGGAACAAAATAACACATGGACTCTTGTCAAATTACCACCTGGAAAAAGGATCGTGGACTCCAAATGGGTTTATAAAATTAAATACAAACCCATTGGCGATGTTGAACGTTACAAAGCTCGACTGGTTGCAAAGGGTTTCACTCAAGTTGAGGGGATTGACTTTCATGAAACATTTGCACCAGTTGCCAAACTCGTTACAGTACGATGCATGTTAGCTGTTGTAGCTAAGTGTAATTGGATTGTACATCAGTTGGACGTTAATAACGCTTTTCTTCACGGTGATCTAGCTGAAGATGTTTATATGCGCATTCCTCAAGGCTTCATGAAAAAGGGTGATACACGCGTATGCAAGTTACAGAAATCCTTATACGGATTACGACAGGCCTCTCGTAATTGGTATCAAAAATTCACCCAAGCTCTCACCGGCATCAGTTTTTCCCAGTCTCACGCAGATCACTCTTTGTTCATCTTTCGACAGGGTCCCATACACACTTATGCTCTTATCTACGTTGATGATGTTCTTCTTGCCGGAAATGACACCTCTCATATTTCCACAGTGCAAAACAGTGCCAAATAGTGTCCAAACAGTATCAAACAGTGCACTCCACAGTAAAGTCAAATTTATTTTCTTAATCTGTGTGAAGTCAAACTGAGAACTTTAATAAGGACCGGAGGGAGTAAATTATAGCATCCATACTCACCTTTTGTTGGTCACTTATTATAGTCCAATCCGCTGCATCTGTAATTTGCAGGTCATCTCTTAGTAGGGTTAAGAACCATGACCAGGAAGAGTTGTTCTCAATCTCAACAATAGACCAAGCTATGGGGTACATCTGATTATTTGCATCCCTACCCACAGCTATCAATATCTCCCCCTTAAGTTGACCTTTCAGAAAACACCCATCTAACCCAATTATTTTCCTACATCCAGCCAGAAAACCCTTTTTAACCGGCCCATAACAGATATACAACCTTTGAAACACACAGGGAGCTTCAGGCACAACTCTAGTGGTGTGAATGACAAAAGTGTTATCCGGGATTGAGTTGATGCATTCCTGGGCATAATTCCTCAGCTTTTTGAACTGATCATGGTAATCTGTATGGGTTTTCTTATGAATAATCCTCAAAGACCTAGTAGCCATGCTGTGGGACACATTAATTTTGAGGTCAGCTTTAATCAGTGCCTTCAATTCACCTGCACCAATGGTAGGATCTTCAAATACCTTTTCCTCATATTTTTCAGCAAACCAATTTTGATTCACTACTCTCAGCTTGTACTTCAGATTGCACACTTGAGCTAAAATGAGAACCTTCACTTGCATGCACATCAAACTTGGATCCCAACTAGCTGTGCAAGAATAAGGACATGAAGGGGCACATTTAACCCGCACTCTCATAGGCTCATTCTTCACAAATCTTACATCTCTCTTTTCATGGACAACATATCGTATCACAACGTTCTTGAATTGAATATTATCTTCAAAGAGCATTGTCAACTCAGTATTTGGAGGCTCAACATCCGGATTATATGAATTGAAATACCTCCTTCTGCGGCGTGACTTCTTAGCAGCAATTTCATCATCTTCTGCATCACCTTCTGCATCATCTTCTGCCTCAACTTCTGCATCATCTTCTGCCTCAACTTCTGCATCAGGTTCTGCATCACAATCTTCATCAGCTTCTTCATCACCTTCTGTGTCCATGTGTTCTTGTTCTGAGCAAATTTCCACATCAACAAACCTATCATTTTGTTCTTCAGAAGCACCTTCAGCCTCCATGTCTTCATCAGCTTCTTTTTCAGTAACACTGCCATCTGCCTCACCTTCACCATGCAGTTGTTCAGTTGGGTAGGTATCATGGTGTAATGTTTCATCTTCTAATAGTTTTTTTTTGAACGACACGTGAGCATGTGAAAAATTATATAACACGTAAAACAATTCTGAGTGCATAGTTGAAGCTATGATCAATATTCAATACTCGGAACTTGGGAAAAACCCAAAGAAAGCAACCATTAGTGCTTATTACAGTCAGCTGGCCAGAGCCAGGTGCAACTCTCTGTAGTTAGAATCATGATAAGATACGAGTGGCAAAGTTACTTCTCTCTTAAATGGGCAACAACAATGGACACTGTGCACCATGTCACAAATGTCGCCATAACTCAATGGTCAAGTTCAGCTAACAAGAACAAACAACGGTTTGTCTCCCAACCGTTCCCGCCCCTTCAGTTCCGGCAATTCAATAACACACGCGCACTCAACAACGATGCCACCAACACGCTCGATCAGTTTGATTGCCGCATCCAAGGTACCCCCAGTTGCAATGAGGTCATCTATTATAAGAACACGTTCTCCTTCTTGGACAGCACCAACATGCATCTCCATAACATCTGTTCCATACTCCAAAGTGTACTCTTGTGAGATAACCTCACCGGGCAACTTCTTTGGTTTCCTCATAGGAACAAATTTCGCCCGTATAGCCAACGCAATTGGAGAACCAAAAATAAAGCCTCTCGCTTCAACTCCTGCGACCACATTGATATTTTTGTCCTTGTATCTTTCAACAAACAAATCGATAGTGTCCTTAAACGCCTTCGGATCAAGCAACAGAGTCATTATATCCTGAAAAAGGATCCCGGGTTTGGGAAAGTCGGGGATGACGCGGATTGTAAATGAAATAGCAGGGATTCGAGGATCTATAGCAGCCGAACTGTGTGAAGCCATCTCCGTTGATTTCGTGCCTGGATCGGAACTCGATCCGTATGCAGCCACGCGAATCGGCTGCGCTGGTCTTCTTCGTCTAGTAGCAGTAGCGGCGGAGGCGGCGGTAGTGTGAGGTAAGTTTATTCGGACCAAATTGCCACCCTGGAAATATGTTCTTACTCTTTCGCCGAAATTTCCGCGTGAGAGTATGAGAGTGGATTGGCTTCATCTTCTAATAGTACTTCATCATCAATGTGTTCATCTACCACCACATTTGGAGCAGGTAATGGAAGGACATCAACCAATTCCACCTCATCTAATACATGATGCACATAAATCTCACAACTTCCACAGGTTGTAGTCATACCAATCAGTTTCAAGGCGGACTCATCATTGAATAACTCCAATAATTGGTCCATAGTCTCCCCTGGTGTTTTATAGTACAACCCATGAATATTTCCATACTTTCCTTCCTTTAACCATCTCAATAGATGTGTATAGGAAATGTAATCAGGATCTATCCCTCGATGATGAACTACCAGTTCAACAATGTCAAACATTCTACAGACAAAAAAATTAAGTTTTGGTTCGTCACACAATAAACAAACATCAACAATAGCACACATTACAGGGAAAACAAGGATTCAAGTATTATGTACTCATAGTTCATATTTTTTGTGTTGGCGATGACTCATGAGGGTTTGCGAACACACATAACACTTCACACCAACCCATAATATAGACAATGTAATTACAACCATTTTTTGTATTCCACACATCAATAACGCACATGCACAACAATAAACACTGTAACACTTGAGATTTAATATAAACGGATTAATAGTACTACTCATACCAACAGAGGTGCATCTCCTTTTAAGGGAGCTCATCACCCAAGAACTCCAAAGTTAAGCGTGCTTGCACGGGAGTAGTCTTGGGATGGGTGACCCCCTGGGAAGTTTCTCAGGGCGCGCATGAGTGAGGACAAAGTGCGCGGTAAAGGCTTGTGGTGGTTTGTGGGGACAGTACTAAAGGTCTGGAGTAACTACCTCAGGGCCTGCGGGGCCGGGGTGTTACAGGTGGTATCAGAGAAACCCCGCGACAGTGTGATGACCCGTTGGATATCGGGCGGGCACTTAGCGGGGGAAGATTCTAGGATTTGATTGAGATTTGAGATTGGTTCAAGGGCGCAACGAGGACGTTGCGATCCTAAGTGGGGGTGATTGTAACACTTGAGATTTAATATAAACGGATTAATAGTACTACTCATACCAACAGATGTGCATCTCCTTTTAAGGGAGCTCATCACCCAAGAACTCCAAAGTTAAGCGTGCTTGCACGGGAGTAGTCTTGGGATGAGTGACCCCCTGGGAAGTTTCTCAGGGCGCGCATGAGTGAGGACAAAGTGCGCGGTAAAGGCTTGTGGTGGTTTGTGGGGACAGTACTAAAGGTCTGGAGTAACTACCTCAGGGCCTGCGGGGCCGGGGTGTTACAAACACACCAACACATGAATGAAAAATTTCAGCGTCTTTAATCGACAGAACAACAACCCTAATTCAAATGAATCCACGCCAAAACGACAGGCATTTGAAATTAACTCTTACTTGCACTGCGGTATCGGCTTCAGATACTCAACAACGTTGAACTTCGATTCACTTCACCAACAACTTCATTGCGTCCTTGCTACCACTCCAACAATCATTAAGAAAGGTCTTCCTTTGGGCTCAGGTTTGAGAAAATGGGGAATGAATCGACTAAGAGGGAGGGCTAATTGAAATGGACAAATCATTTCCACGTCAATTACACACAAAACCTTACATTACTTCCACGTAGACGCCATGTCAGCACTCCAAAGGGAAACCGAGAGGTAACCTATTAAAAAGAGGATTTGAAGAAAATAACATACTTTGGGGTTTAATTGACAAAACTTTTAGTAGGAGGGTATAATTGCCTGTCCGTACAAAGTACGAGGGTCGATTTGACACTTTTCTCTTTTTTGAAAGTAAACGTGTGTGGGTGACACTTTTATGAATACATGGTCTTATATGATCATTTCGGGATAGTAGAGGGTCTTATTTGAAAAGAATCAGGAAAGAAAGGTTGGGATAGTTAGGGTTGTATACGAACCGAATCGAGTCGAATAATGAGATTTTGTATTTGTATTTGTTTAATATTTTCGAATACGAATTCGAATTCAAATACGAAACGAATATTAATTTCGATTTGTATTTGTATTTGTTTAACAATACGAATAGTTAACAAATTATATACGAATATCGAATCGATTTAAGCATAGGTTAAATATTAGTCAAATACGGAGTGTCACTTTAAAATAACTTTTCTTATACTTCGTATTGTTTATGTTTTAAATGCATGCTATGACTTAATATGTGTTCTTAGAATAAAAATTTAATGGATCAATGCATTTTTAGATGTTACACAATATACTAAAGTGAATTAATTTTATGATTAATAAATATAAATCTATTTCAAACATTTTGAGATAAACACTAACACACACATCAGAAATTATACTTACAATGTGTGAAATAAGTTGACAATTGCATATATCAAAGTCAAACAACTCTAATTTTATTCTTCAAATCGAATACATAATTATTTGTTTTGTATTTGAAAGACATTTGAACTAAAAAATTGATTTGTATTCGTATTTATATTCTGATTTATTACATATAGGCTTCAAATCTGTATGCAAAAATGTATATATGGGCTACACGTGGAGAATATTGCTATCTTTTAAAAGTTTTTTTTTATCATCAAAACATGCCTCTATTCATATCAAAAGATTCCAACAACTACGACTGTAACCCTATGGTGAGACTTTGAGACGGTCACCCCTGAGAGAGCAACACGAATCGCTAACCATGTAGTGGGCTTGACACAGCCAAAACTATTCCCATAGATCCAATCATACCCAATGACATAAAGAGAGGCAAAAAACTCAAACAAATTGTCCAACCCAACAACAAAAATGGACGCAAGAAAACAAATAACAAACAGATAAAAACTACAAGAAAAACGTTCACGAACTCTAGCACCTCGTGCATCCCATGGTGGTGGTTCAGGAGGAGGTCGTACCACTAGTACCATGCTAATTGATCCTCCATGACCTTTGGCTGCCAAAGATCATGCATCAATCCTCCATCCATGCATAACCAAACTCATCCATGCTCCGTGCGACCAGACTAAGCGGACAGGCGGTGCCGATCTTCTCCAACGACGGCAGCAACGCCGCATCCTCAAACCTTGACCACAGCGCCGATCTCCTCGAGCCATGACAACAAATCTGCCCTCCTCCACCGATCTCCGCCCTCCGCGTCTGACCTGAACTCCAGTCGAGCACCAGCGACCAAGGGATAACAAAGCCGATCTTCGATAAAGTCGAAATCGGAAAAAGGCTCCAGCGGCCGACATAGTCAAAGCCCTAGAGAGAAAAACTCGTGATCGCTCTATCTTAGCCAAAAGCAGACCACTGCTCCGCGGCCAGATATGCGAACAAGAACAGCCGAACTTCGATCAATATGATCGAATTCGAAAAAAAAAGCCTAGAGGCGGCTGCCCTAGGAGGCTAGGATGATGACGAACTTAACATGTTTTTTCCGCAAACCCTTTATCTTTTAAAAGTTATTATAGTGTTATTACTATTATTATTAATATTGATATTAATACTTCCACTATTATTAATCGAATATATTTGATTAATATTCGAATCGAATACACTGATATTCTTATTTGTATTTGATAACAACTCGAATCAAATTTAATATTCTTATTTGTATTTGTATTTTGCGAATTCGAATCGTCTTATATGAATTCGAATCGCAAATCGAGCACAAATTATTTGATTCATTTACAACCTTAGGGGTAGTACGAGTACTAGAGTGATAATAGGATGGAGGGGTAGAGTAGTAGATTAGGGGTAGATTTTGAAAGGATTAGTGATGAGCAACAACCATAGATACATAATCTGCACTGCTGACGGCGGCGTTCCCTGATTGGCAGCGGGGATATTCCTGTCCCGCTAGTTAATTGAAGCCGAAACCCGCCTCTTTCCTCCAGAGTGCGAAGCTGGAGGAGAAGGAACCAAACCCAGGTCAAACGCGCGCGTCTTCTCATTCACCTCCTCGCCATTACTTCCGCCCCTGGGATGGAGCTGCCGGTGCTATTTCGATCTCCGGGCCCCCCTCCCGCGTTTTCCGCCGCCTGTAATCATCATTTTCTGGCGTTTAATTTCACCAAGATGGGGAGGAAAACCGTGCTCTTAAGGAATAGAGCCACGGTGGAGAGGACTAGCGGCCGCGACGCGGTCGACGCTAGCTCAGCTGCGGAGATAGATAATGCTGCCGGAGCTGGAACAGTCTCCGGTGGACCAGCTATGGAGGTAATTACACTTGGCCAGAGCTTCCGGGAAGCTGAATTACCCGTTTGGGAAAAGATCGGTGCTGTAGTGCGACTCAGCTATGGAATAGGTGAGCTTCTTCGCGCTTCTATTATATTTATGTTTTGGGTTTTTACTTTTCTTCTATAAATTCGCGGAGGCTGTCTCGCACTCCCTGTGTCAACATGCTTTACTAATTCTTAACGCAAATCAATAATTGAATCCCCAAAACAATGGCGATATTGAGCCATTCAATGATTTTCTTCATAATGGTCAATTTGCAGCACGGTCTATATGATTTGTACGGAGTATTTGCTAATAACTGTGAGAATTGGATAAACACATACGGAGTATTAGATTCATCTATAATGAACATTTACAATGCAATAAGCAATGGGCATGCACACCCTTTTGGTTCTGGATGTTCAAGGGTGAGAAGTTAGCAGTTAGGGGAAGCTAGTGTGTGCGCAACTGTTTTAGTTTCACTTCTTCTTCCTTTCCCTTTGTGCTTGTTTTGATACGGACTTGAAGTTTGGGTCAAGATCTTTTCTTTTGGTATATCAAGTGACGTGCCGCAAACATACTGCTTGCCCACTGCAGGGATATATGGAGGGATGGCTTTAGCTGGAAGGTTTATATGTTCGATGGCAGGAATCGATAGCACTGGAGGATTCACTCCAACATCAGATGCCATTGTGGAAGGACTGGAATATGCAGTTCCTCCAATCGCGGCCCTTCTTTTCATACTAGATGTATGCATCCATGTTTAACTTTAAACTAAATTGGTTTGGTAATTAATCATTCTAATGGCTTACCAGCCTTAATA